TTGCTTCTAACAATTGGTGTCCTAACCCTGATTTTGAAGTTTTAAGAGAATATGAAGCATGAAGAATTCCCACTTTCTCAGGAGAAAGGAGAAAGGCCCAAAGACCTCCCTCAAGGCCCTAACTGTCATTATTAAACTTGAAAGTATTTTTGTCAGCTTAGAAGAAGGTGTACAGATAGAGAAGAACTGAGTATGAAACTCAAATAAAAAATATAAGGACATAATTTATGATAAGAAGAGGATCATGGTATACAGAAGTCTTCTAATGAGGGAGACCATCTTCCTAACTCCGTTTCTTGTTATGCATTTGTCAAAAAGCCATTCCAGCTGGTTATGGAACTCAACAGAAAGAGTTGAGTTCCATATGGAAACAAATACTTGACACAAAAAGCAACCATAAGCAAAAAAAGATACCATGAATTTCACCAATATCTATCTTTTATTGATCCAAAAAGGCATATTGATAATGATTTAAATAAAAACACTGCAAAAATGGCCAAGATGAGAGTGAATTGGCATTCTATTTTCAGCTACTGAGTCAGTAAACTCCTACAAATGCACAAGAAAATAACTTGGCATAGTCTAGGCATAGCTGACAGAAAAGCTGGGCAGCAATTCCAATCTAAAGCTTTTATTTGCCAAACAGATATGCACAGCAGCACAGCATGAACCCAGACAATAATAGATAGCCACAGTCATTTACATAAAAGCATTATTTGAAATATATAAAAACTGGAAAATTACTAATGTTTATAAACTTCATAATGAAGGGGCAGTACAATAAACAAAGTAAGTTGGCTATTTGAGGTCCAATGACACATATTACATAAAATTACACAGACTCATTTTCAAAGCTAATGGTTTAAACTGTTATCACTCAGAGATGATCAATTCCTATCACACTATCTATGCACATTTGAACCACTATTAGAAAAGGTAGTATGTGCCATACTACAAAGAATTAAAAGCTCTGTAATCAGTTTTAATCAAGACCCCTCAGTTGGCATTTGAAAATATACCACTGACTTTTTAGTAATTTCCCCAAGCACCATGGTTAGGCATTTATAAATATATTAAGAGTATTAGCTAATTGACATTCCCAAGAATGTTTACTTTATGTGTACCCATCACTGAATATTTAATTCATTTTGTCTAGGAAAAGTAAAAACAGTATAAGAAAGAAATCACCATGCATACCTCATGTTCTCTGCTGAATCTTCTGGCATTGGGGCAACGGTTTGTACAGCTGGAAGATTTTTGCTGGTAGCACCATTCACAAAACTAGAAGAGGAGGAAGAGGAGGAGGAACCTGAATCCACAGCACCTGTTCCCAAAATAATAATTTTAGTTTTAAATATAAATTTATTTAGCAAAATAACTTTATTACTTCATTTCTATTTGATTTTCAAAGAATAACTCATCAGAATTTCTAATGAGATTTGGTCATTAGTATACTAATAAATTCCATGATTTTAAGTAATGGATATTACATTAAAGTCCAGTTGACTTATGTTAATCTAACAAAATTACATGTTACAAATGGGTGTAAATAAAAGACATCAACAGATGAAAAAATCTAGATTAAATGAAGCTGATAAAAACAATGCAAATTTAAATGTAAAAATTTTGTTCCCTTTTTTACTGCTATAATGTAATATTCTTAGACCTCATGATCTAAGGCATATTTTCAGAAAACTGGGAGAACAGTTTTGTCATTTTACAGCATTAAATTCTGACTTTTATTACAATGATTGCTTCAGAAGCCCTGACTACAGCAGTACCTGATTTTAAAATAATTAGTTCTCTTCAATTATATGAAGATGCCTCTTTAGAGATTTTTCTATAATATGTCATGTGAGTACATCAAAGAACTCTGGAGTTGTGGGACATCTAGTGTTATATCTTATGCTAATTCTAACAAAGTGAGTTGCTCACTGACTGGATTTCCACTGTAACAGCTGTACAGTGCCAAGTGCAATATCTAAACTGTACACTGTGCTCAGCATAAATGTTATCTCATATTTATATCTCTCTTTATATGATCAAATGTTACAGAAAAAGGTTATTGCTTAGTTTTAATTTTTACTGTAAAATATATTTTATACTATCCAAAAACTTATGTTATATATCAACAACTAATTTTTAAAACAAAAATTACAAGAAAGCATAACTTATCTTATACAAAGACAAAAAGTGATTTAATCTTTTTTGTTTAATGCAGTAAAATAAGGAATTTATTCACCCGAAATCACTAAGTACAGATTCCACTAAACTGTTATACTTTTAAAACTGAAAAAAAATGAACTTACAAATTTTAAAATGTCATTAATTCTGCTCAGTGATTGAGACAAGTATAGATGCTTAAGCAAGTGTTCTACTTACTACACCCCATAAATGTGTGGTTCATGATATGTCAGACTCAGGTGGCATGATAAACAAGATAGATACAGAAAGCACAAAAAGAAGCTACAAAATCAATAGAAATGGGAAGAATCTAAGTAATGATAATAAATGGAAAAGTTCAAGGCTATACAGTTTGGAGAACAGAAGACTACTATAGTCAGGGAAGGAAAGTCAGGGATCATCTTGCGTTGTATAAATACCTAAAATGGAATCACAAAGATTTGGGTAAGGATTTATTTAGCTAATAATCAACAGGAACATTTCTGGAAATTTGAGAGATAGCAAGATAGAGAGAGAGACAGAGAGAGGAAAGAGATTGATTTTAGTCAGACTTTTAAATTGGAATTTTTGACTTCTAGAATCATAGGAAATAGCAGGACAATGAATTGGAACAGTTATAACCTGAGAATATAAATTAATTCAGTGTGAGGCAATGGTCCTTATTCATATGCTCTTTTTACAAAGTTGAGGCTCTTGCATATCAACAAGGATTTTATAAAATTCTGCCTTTCTTTTAAGGATTTAGCAAAGGATACATCTTAGGGTTCAATCCTAAAAATCCATTTTCTAGCACTAAATGTCTGATGCACTTTCACATGCTTTATAAGTTCATTTCCACCTGTCATTCTCTAGTATCTAAATCAACTTTTGCTCTCCAAATGTATTCCAACAACCTGATTATAGCCTGAAAGTAGACTACGATGCTTTGAGACAACTCAAAACAAAAACCAGTTCTTTCTCTTGAAATGATGAGCACTGTATCTCTGTCCTAGAGACAGCAACAAGTTCTGACAAGTTGTTGAACAGGGTGCAGCACACTAAAGACTAAGCTAATCCTAAATGTTTGGAATTTTTAGTTGTTAAGATCAAATGGGAAAATGAAGATACAGTAAACGGAGAAAAAAGGATGAAGCTTCACAAAAGTCTATAAGGACGATACCTGTCGTGTTAATCATACTTTTTGGTGTAGCTCCAGGGGCAGCAAATATACTTGAGGTACTGCCTGTTGGCAGCCCACTTCCTGCAGCGGTGGCTCCCACAGTAGTGACAGATAGACTACCTGGAGGTGGTTTCTTTACAGGCACCACCACACTCCTGCAGAGAAAGACAGAAAATAACACCAAAGCTTGAGATAAAGCCTGTTCCCATGATGCACAGCAGATCCACAAAGCCAACAATGTAGTCCAGCTGAGCTTCCTCCCCTCAGTCCTTCCCTCTTCTTAGCTGACTCCATACTGTTAACTTGCAAACCCTAGATCACTGGTGAAAGGGTTACAAAAGTTAAGCAAACACTGGGAAGTTTATTACATTAAACATTTATTTGGTAAACACTAGTGTAGAATCTGGAGTTTGAAAATCTTTCTTAAAATGACAAATAAAAAAATAATCACAAATCAGAGAAACAAGTGCTCAGATTAACACATTTTGCACATGCTTATTGAATAATCTTGCGATAAAATGTACACAAAATATCCACTTCCTAGTATATCATCATACATGTAAAATGATCATGAAATTGGAGTGCCAATAGTTTATTGGGCTACTTGACTCATGCACCCAAGAACCTGATCACTGGAACCCAAATAAAGAAACCAGATGTGGTAGCAAGCACTGTAATTCCAACACTTCTGAGGTAAGACGGGAGGTAAAGACAGGAGAATCACCCAGAAGTTCATTGCCCAGTCAGCCTGCACATGCTATGCAGTCCAACAGAATCAAGACCCCCTCTTTCAGGCAAGGTGAAAGGAGAGAATTTGCTCCACAAAGTCCTTAGATTTCCAGGTGGCATGTGTACACGCGCGCGCGCGCGCACACACACACACACACACACACACACACACACACGCACACGCACACACACCGCTTTCTAAAACTGTCATAAAATTATATTTACAAATAAACGCGTGCGCACACACACACACACACACACACACACACACACACACACACACACACACACACACACACCGCTCTCTCACATTTACAAATAAACACCCAAAGAAATATTTGATAGTCAAACTGGAAAACATGATGCTGAAAAATATAGTGAGGGATAAAAATACAGTGAGGGATAACAAAACACATCAAGGTAATAAGGAAATTTATTTTAGTTCTCTCACCAAAAGCGTTTTCTATAACACAATAAAATTCAGATTATAGCAAAAATGCCACTTAACTTTCATGCTTTAACTTTGTAACATAGAAATCATTATTTTCTCATATTTACTCAATACTTTTAAATGAATTTTATTTAAAAAATCTGAATATCATGCTGTGTTAAACTTAAATGATAAACATGTGGATATTGCTCAATTTTAAAATATGCATTTTAAAATATAATCAGTATTTGTATTTCCTTGTCAGAAAGGCGTATTTCTCAAAACTTACAGCACTTCAAACTTGATTTCATAAATATCTCCCAAGCATTGCTCAACTATGATTGATTTTTCAGAAAAAGACTCACAAGATTTAGGTTCAAATGGAAAGCATGAAAAATAGTGACTGACAGCATGAAAATCTCCAATGTACACTGTCATTTAATACCTGTATATTTTATTATTAACATGCCCATTTATTATTATATACTTATTTTTCTGTGCTGTCTTTGTCAAGCTGTCATTTTTACATTCATAAAGGTAAAACAGAAGTCATCAGCATAGCTTCTCTTTCAGCAATGAAGTGGCAATACTTCCACAAAATGAAGAACTGTACTTGTAACCTGCTTTGTACTTTGAATAAAGTCCACTCAGTGACATGATATGAACGTCATTTTCAGACCCCAACTTTTTACCTTTCCTTAACACAATCCCTTCTTTTTCTTTTTAAATTTAAATTTAAATTAAATTTTAAATTTAAATTTTATTTATTTTATTTAAATTTTAAATTAAATTTAAATTAAATTTAACAAGCTTGTTTTACATATGAACCCCAGTTCCTCTTCCCCCAATCCTTCCTTGCCCCCGACTGAACCCCTATCCCATCCCCTTTCTGCTCCTCAGGGAGGGTGAGGCCTTCCATGGAGGAATCTTCAAAGTCTGTCAGGAGCAGGGCCTAGGCCCTCCCCCAGTGTCTAGGCTGACAGAGTATCCCTATGAGGAATGGGCTCGAAAAGTCCATTCTTATATAGGGATGAATACTGATCCACTGCCAAAGGCCCCAGACATTGCCCAGGCCTCCTAACTGACACCCACAATAAGGGGATCTGGAACAGTCCAATGCTGGTTTCCCAGCTATGAGTCTAGAGTTCATGAGCTCCCACTTGTTCAAGTCAGCTGTTTCTTTGGGTTTCCCCAGCATGGTCTTGACCCCTTTGCTCATTACTCCTCCCTCTCTGCAACTGGATTCCAGAGATCAGCTCAGTGTTTAGCTTGGGGTGTCTGCTTCTGCTTCCATCAGCTACTGGATGAAGGCTCTAGGATGGCATATAAAGTAGTCATCAATCTCATTATTGGAGAAGGGCATTTAAGGTAGCCTCTCCACTAATGCTTAGATTGTTAGTTGGGGTCAACGTTGTGGATCTCTGGACATTTCCTTAGTGCAGATATCTCTTTAAACCTATAATGGCTCCCTCTATTATGGTATCTCTTTTCTTGTTGTCCTCTATTCTCCCATGACTCAATCTTCCTGCTCTCTCATGTCCTCCTCTCTCCCATCCTCTTTTCCCCTTCTCTTTCTCCTAACTCTCTCTCCCCTCCCCCATGCTCCCAAATAGCTCAAGAGATCTTGTCCCTTTTCCCTTCTCTGGGGGACCTTGTATGTCTCTTTTAGGGTCCTCCTTGTTTCCTAGCTTCTCTGGCGGTGTGAATCGTAGGCTGGTAATCCTTTACTGTATATCTAAAATCTATACTCGAGTGAGTTCATACCATGCTTGTCTTTTTGTGACTGGGTTACCTGACTCAAGATGGTTTCTTCTAGTTCCATCCATTTGCCTGTGAATTTCAAGGTGCCATTGTCATTTTTTTCTGCTGAGGAGTACTCCGTTGTGTAATTGTAACACATTTTCTCCATCCATTCTTCAGTTGAGGGGCATCAAGGTTGCTTCCAGCTTCTGGCTATTACAAATAATGCTGCTATGGAACATGGATGAACGGGTGTTCTTGTTGTATGAATGTGCAACTTTTGGGTGTATGCCTAAGAGTGGAATTGCTGGATCTTGTGCTAGACTGATTCCCATTTTCCTGAGGAACTACCATACTGATTTCCAAAGTGGCTGTAGGAGTTTGCACTCGAACCAGCACTGGAGTAGTGTTCCCCTTTCTCCACATCCTCTCCAGAACAAACTGTCATCTGTGTTTTTTATTTTAGCCATTCTGACGTGTGTGAAATGGTATCTCAAAGTTGTTTTGATTTGCATTTCCCTGATGGCTAAGGATGTTGAACACTTTATGTGTCTTTCAGGCATTTTAGATTCCTCTATTGACAATTCTCTATTTCTGTACCCCACTTTTTATTTGGATTATCTGGTGTTTTGGTGACTAGCTTCTTGAGTTCTTTGTTTATTTTAGAAATCAGCCCTCTGTCAGATGTGGGGTTGTTGAAGATCTTTTCCCAATCTGTTGGCTGCCATTTTCTCTTGTTGACTGTGTCCTTTGCCTTACAGAAGCCTCTCAGTTTCAGGAGGTCCCATTTATAATTGTTGATCTCAGTCTGTGCTACTGGTGTTATGTGCAGAAAGCAGTCTCCTGTACTAATTCTTTCAAGGGTACCACCTAGTTTCTCTTCTAAAGAGTTTCAGTGTGGCTGGATTTATGGTGAGGTCTTTTTTCCATCTGGACTTAAGTTTTGTGCATGGCAATAGATATGGATCTATCTAGTCTTCTACATGCCAGCATCTAGTTATGCCAGCACCATTTGTTAAAGATGCTTTCTTTTTCCATTGTATAATTTTAGCTTCTTTGAAAAAATTAGGTGTCCGTAGGTATATGGGCCCATATCAGGGTTTTCAATTCAATTCAATTCAATTAGTCTACTTGTTTTATTTTTGTGCGAATACCAAGCTGTTTTCAGGACCATAGCTCTGTAATAGAGCTTGAAGTCAGAGATGGTGATGCCTCCAGATGTTCCTTTATTGTACAGAATTGTTTTGGCTATCCTGGGTCTTTTGTCTTTCCATGTAAATTTGAGAATTATTTTTTCAAGGTCTGTGAAGAATTCTGCCGGTATTTTGATGGGGATTATATTGAATCTGCATATTGCGTTTTGCAAGATTGCCATTTTTACTATGTTGAGCCTACCTATCCAAGAGCATGAGAGATCTTTCCATTTTATGGTGTCTTATTTTATTTCTTTCTTTAAAGACGCAAAGCCCTTGCTATACAGGTCTTTCACTCATTTGGTTAGCGTTACTCCAAGATACTTTATGTTGTTTGTGGCTATTGTAATTGTGATTTCTTTCTCAGCCCATTTATGGTCTGTATATATTAGGGCTACTGGTTTTTTTTTTTTTTTAAGTTAATCTTGTATCCTTCCACTTTGCTGAAGGGGTTTTTCAGCTGTAGGAGTTCCCTGGTAGAGTTTTTTGGGTCACTTAAGTAAACTATCATATCATCTTCAAATAGTGAAAGTTTGACATCTTCTTTTCCAATTTGTATGCTCTTGATCTCCTTTTGTTGTCTTATTGCTCTAGCTATCACTTCAAGTACAATATTGATGAGCTATGGAGAGAGTGGACAGCCTTGTCTTGCCCCTGTTTTTAGAGGGATCATGTTGAGTTTCTCTCCATTTAGTTTGATGTTGGCTGTTGGTTTGCTGTATATTGCTTTTTATTATAGGTATATTACTGTGATCCCTGATCTCTCCAAGACCTTTTTCATGAAGGGATGCTGGATTTTGTCAAGGGCTTTTTTCAGCATCTAGTAAGATGATCATGGGGTTTTTCTTTCTCAGATTGTTTATATGGTGGATTACAATGATGGATTTTTGTATGTTGAACCATCCCTGCATCCCTGGGATGAAACCTACTTGATCAAGGTCTAATGTTTTTTGATGTGTTCTTGGATTTAATTTGCCAGTATTTTATTGCATCAATGTTCATGAGAGATATTGGTCTGTAGTTGTTTCTTTCTTTCTTAGTTGTTTCTTTGTGTGGCTTGTGTACCAAGGTAATTGTAGGCTAGTAGAAAGAGTTTGGCAATGACCCTTATGCTTCTATTTTGTGGAATACTTTGAGGAGAATTGGTATTAGCTTTTATTTGAATTTCTGGTAGAATTCTGCATTGAAGCCATCTGGTCATGTGTAGGGAAAATGTTAGCCAAGCCCTTTTGGGGGCTGGCACAGGTGACGCAGACCATTCACATCAGAGCGTGACCAGTGACATAGCAAGACCTTAAATATGAAGGTCGCACCCCAGGAGCTCTCTCTGTTCCATGATTCACGTGGTTGTAGGGGCCTGACTCCATCTCATGAGTACTTTCCTATTTAAACATCTGTTCGTCAAACTTGCTCTGACTCCTTTGTGGTACGAATCAATTGTGTTCAGATTACAGGATTTTTATTCAGAACCTCCAGGTTAGTGCATGACTTTAAGTGGGATTTATTTCCCTGCTGCATCAGCGCACAGGTAAGTTTTCATCTTCACCTGTGGCACTAACCGCCACAGAGTGTTCCTGGCGCCTTTTGGCTGAGAGAAGCCCATTCCAGCTGGGCCTAAGAACCAGCTTAGGTACTAAACACTGTTTGTGGACTGATTGTGATTTCTGCCCCATGGCTACTGTGACTTTGGACTTAGACATGCTGGACCACGTTGGTTTTCATACAGAAGGCCACCGCCTTCCGAGTTGTGTAGAAGATGTGATAAGGGCAGACACTGGACCAATGAATGTAGATCGACCAGAGACAAGCAAGGAAACCTGTTACAATCGGGAAACACTTTGAGGGGCCTCTAGAAGTCCCCCACATTGAGAATGGTCTGGTCATTCCCAGTCACTGGAGGACAATCTTTCACAGGACAAATAGATAGTACATTGCCTATTGAAAAGAGTGATATTACTCTAGATGGTAGTTTGGCTAGTAATGAGGAATCAAACGTGACTGCAGGAGATGATAAACGCATATTTTGGCAAACTTCTAAAATGATAAGAGGCTGCAGTTGAAAGTAAGAATTAATACTAAAGTTATTACTGGCTTAGTGGACACTGAAGTGGAGTAACTATTATTACCCAAAAGTCCTGGCCTCAGACACGACCTCTTAGAGAGGTTAATGTACAATTTTTAGGAATTGGAACTCTATTTAGAATTTGACACAGAATGTTAATTGGGTGGTCTGCATTTGACCGAAAGGACAGAAAGGATGGCTAAAAACATATGTCGAAGACATAGCACTAAATCTTTGGGGTCGTGATCTGTTACGGCAATGGAATACTCAGATAAATATTCCTCCAGTATCAGATATGAATTATGTACAATCTTTAGATGGTAGAAAAAATTTGTTAAGACTCTATAGGAAACAGGTTAATTTTACAGCTGTCTCTCAGAACTCTTTTTTTTCTAGTCCCTATTCAATTAAAACAAGGCTGGCTTTAGAGTTGGATTTGGCTTTCCTCCTCTAAATCCAAGCACTTTGTTAAAATAAACTTCAGATATTCTGTTCTATATCAAGAAGCCAATTGATGTAATACAGAATAGGGGAAAGATTAGGGACTGTTATTTGTTGTTTCTTGGCTTTCTTCTCTCAAGATGTACACCCTTTCATAATTCTTATTTTCCCATGGTTGACCTTCCCGGTAT